CTGAGGGGGAAGCACTGTCAGATACCCCCAGAGCCTCCCAAAACACTCCAGAGCCCTAGCATCCCTCCAGAACCCCTCCCCCCACCCCTCAGTGTTCACCCAGCATCCAATTCCCCCCAAGACCTCTTGGGGCTGGGCACTCCACTATTGGAGGGACGTGGCAGACTTCCCTRGAGCCTGCTGAGACCCCCAGAGTAGCCCAACACTGCCCCACAGCAGCCCCAGAACTCCCCAAACCCCCAATTGCACCACCTCACTCTTGGGAGGTCAGGAGCCCTACCGTGGTGGAGGACATCATCAGAACCTCCCCCAAAGCCTTCCCAAAAGCCACCCTCTCTCCCAACCAGCCTCCCCCAGTGAATGCAACCTCTGGACACATAAGCCCCCTGCCCTGCAGTTCTTCCATCCCCTTGCTAGAACCTCCTTAACAGTCCTCCAGCCCTTCCTAGACACTCCCAGATTCCCAATTCCCTCCAGGGTACTTCCCAGACGTCTCCCCAGACCCACCCCAACTCCCTCATAGGCCCCCCCCAAACCCCCGTACCCTGCAGGGGTGGCTCCCCCAGCCGAGGGTGATCTGTCCCCAGGCCGTTGGCTGCTGCCCGGGCGCTTCGCTTCTCCGCTGTCAGCTGGGGACAGGGGAATATGGCCCTCCCAGATGTCACACCACAGTGACCTCCAGGGAYCCCCATGATGACCCGCAGTACTCCAGATGTCACTGGGCACCTGAGCCCTCTTGGCTGTCACACYGTGGGCACCCCCAGGGACCCCCAGGGACCCCCAGCCCCTGTGCCCTGCAGCAGCTCTGTGTGGACACTGGGGTGGGGAGGGGCTCACCCAGGAACAGGCCTAGGGACCGGCTGGAAGGGCCTGCAGGTCTCACCTGTGTGCAGATGTGGGTGCAGACTAGGGCAAGTCCTGGCAGATTTTTGGGGGTCTCACCTGGGCAGATGTTGTGCAGACCAAGGAAGGGGAATTTGGGGTGAGCTACATGGGCCCAGGGAGTCTTGGGGGGTGTCTCACCTGGGTACAAACCTGGTGTGGACTAGGAGGGGGTTTCTCAGGAGCTTTTGGGGGGTCTCATTTGGACACAGATGTACCACAGGCCAAGGTGGCAGTTTGGGGGGAAGCTGGCAGGGGGTTGGGAGGATTTTATCTGGATGCAGACCCAGTGCGGGCCAGGGGTGGTTCCTGGAGAAGTTTCAGGGGAGGTCTCACTTGGGCACAGACACGGTACAGGCCAAGGGGGTGGTCTGAGGGGGTTCCAGGGTGGTCTGGGGGGTCTCACCTGTGCACAGACACGGTGCAGCCCAGCAGCRATGGCACTGGCTGGCCCCTCACAGCGGAACACGTGGCACTTCAGCACCTGTGTCAGGGGGTCCCTCGCCACGTAGGCAAAGTCCCTAGGGGGGTGGGGGAGGTTCACTCAGGACCCCTCCAGTCCCCTCCCCACCCAGTCCAATCCAGGACTGGGGGCACTGGGGGTCTGGGGGCAGATTGGGGCCGTACCTTTCCCTGTGTCCCCAAGCAGCACAGTGGAACAGAGCGTGCTTAAGGGTGGTGGGGGGGCACAGACCCCCTCCTCCACAGCTCCACCCCACACACCCCTAAGGGCAGGTCTGGTCCTGCCCCACACCCTTCTCTGCTGGGGGGGGCTCAGTGTTGGSACCCCATGGCCCCCACCTGCCCAACCCCACATGAGACTCCCCAGCCCTGTGCATGTGACCCCCACAGCCCCACACCTTACCCATGTGGAAATCCCAGCCCCAAGCCCCTCTGCACTCAGATCCTCCCCATCCCTGCACCACACATACACAARACCCCCAGCCCCCAGCAGACACCCGAATCTCATGCCCCTGACACCTGACCCCAAYGCCACCTCGAGCCACCTCAAGCCACCCTCAAAGCCACCTCAAGCTCCACACCTGCGGGCACAYCTGTGCCCCCCAGCTCCACAGCTGCCCCCACCTGCTGCCGTGCCGCCCCACGCCCCACACGCGGATGCCGCCCACAGGCTGCGCATGCAGCAGTGCCCGGTCCTGGGGGTCCACAAGCTTCAGCGTGCGGCCCTCAAGCAGCAGCAGTGCCCTTGCCTGGGGGACACAGGAAGGTCAGGAGGATACTCTGCTCCCCCAGGTGCCAAGAGGGCTGTRGAGAGGTTGTGGGATGGATGTGGGGGCCACAGGGGGAGTCTGGAGTCACTCACCTCCCCCCAGGTGCTGGGGGGGCCGTCACGAGGCCCCGAGAGTTGCCGGATGCAGGCGCTGACAGCGCTGCTGCTGCGGCCGGGACCCAGCTCCTCCTCCCGCAGCTGCACCCAGCCCAGGGAGCGCACAGGGAGGCCCTGGGGGTAAAGGGGGGAAATAGGAGTCAGTGGGAGATGTGTGGGGATGGGGKTGTGGGGCAGGGGCTGTGTGGTGGGGGTAGTGTGGGGCAAGGATGATGTGGGATGAGGGGCAATGGAGAAGGGAGTGGCAGGATGTGGGGCGTGGAGCAGGAAAGACACRGAGCTTGAGGCAGGGCTGGTGTGGGGTAGGGGCTCTGGGGCAGGGGGATGGCGTGGGGCAGCCTCACTGCCCCAATGTGTACAGCCCCCCAACCTCAGGGCAGGGCAGACCCTGCAGTGGGGCGTGGCTGAGGCCCCTCCCATGCAGTGACAGTGTGGGGTGCCCCTGGGTTGGTGTTTCAGCTCCCCAGCAGCAGATCAGACCCCACGGGAGTGGGGAAGGTGGCGAAGGGGCCCTGTGGGTAAGCAAGGTCAGGAGGGAYTGGCCCTACCTTGGAGTCCAGTGCATCCTCCTCGCCCAGGGCCATGCTGCAAGGGGAAGGAGCAGGGGGGCTCAGCAGCGGCACCCTGAGACCCTGGGGCCTCCCCACCCCCAATCCTTGTCCCTGAGACCCCTCTGGGATCCCCCACATTCCACACCTGGGTCCCTGACCCCCAGCTACCATTTCACACCGGACACCCTCTTCCCCATTCTGTTGCTTGTCACCGAGGGTCCCACTTCCCAACAGGGGCCAGGGACAGCCCCAGCCATGCCTCACACTCCCCATGTGCCCCCCCCCGTCCCTGTGCCTCCCCCGCACCCCTCTCCTGGTGATCCTGGGCCTGGTGATGGCGTCTCCAGGTCTGACACTCCTGGCTCTTCATCTTCCTCCTCCTCCTCCTCCTCCTCAGCTGTGGGGTCCTGGGGGCAAGAGGGCTCTGTGGGGCTGGGGGGCACTGACTCCCCACCCCCTCCCATCCACTGCCCCCTCTCACCTTCCACAAGTCCCCATCATTGAAGGTCTCGGCTGGGGCAAAGCTTGTCCAGGAGAGCTGCAGAGAGCTGGGTCAAGATACACCATAGGGCAGCCCCACAGCACCCCATGGGCACCATGCATCCCACAGCAGCCCCCCAGTCACCCCACAAGCACCCCACGGCTGCTCTCCAATCATCCCACAGCACACTAAGGGAGTCCCAAGGTAATCCCAAGGGCATTCCATTCCCATACCATAGGTGCCCTGCATCTCCAACAACCACCCCATCATCATCCCCCAGTCACCCTAAGCCCTATAGCCACCCCCTGGCCACCCTACAGTGGCTGCACAGCCAACCCCCAGCCCAACCTGTCCCCTGAGTCCCGACTCACTGCGGGCCCCTCGGTGGGGGTGCTGCCATCRGAAGGGGTCTCATGGGGCCCGCCAGGGGGCTCCCACTGAGTGGTGCCCGTGGGGACGTGCCAGTAGTAGGTGCCCGAGGTGTCCTGCACCCGCAACCAGCCGGGGGGCAGGTCCTCGTGTGCTCCCGCGCCGCATGGCCACAGTGACTCTGCAGGGCGTGATGGGGGTCAGAGGAGGTCAGCCCCAACCCCACACAGCCCCCTATGCCCAAGGACATGGGTATGCCCCAGGAGGSATGGGGGCTGGGGACACAGAACAAYGCCCAGCGGATTGAGGGACCAGGCGACCAGGAATGGCACCCAGAGGGGCTGGGGGTGTAGCGGTGGGCACACAGCCAGGGACTGGGGGAGATGTGGAGCTCATAGGAACAGGGGGGCAGGTGGGGGCAGCCATGGGGCTCTGTGGGGTACTTGTGGGGTAGCCAGAGATYGTCATGGGGAGGCTGTGGGGAAGGYTGAGAAGTCAGAAGCCTCCCAGTCAGGGCAGCTGTGGGGCAGTGAGAGGCCAGTGTGGGGCTCCGTAGGGCAGTCACAAGTCACTGGGGGTCCATGGGTCGGATGCCCACCTGGCTCATCGGGGGAGCTGCCAGGACTGCCCTGGCTCAGCGTGGCCCAGCTCGAGTCCTCGTCGCTGCCAGGGCCGGGCCCCCCRAAGAGGCGGCTGGCGCTGCGCCCCGGGGCCTCCCGCAGGCCCCGCTCCACGCCCACAGCCGGTGGAGAAACCCCGGCCCCGTCCTCCTCCTCGTCCTCCTCCTCATCTTCATCGTCCTCCTCCTCCTCCTCCTCCGAGGCGCCGATCAGCAGGGCCCGTGGGTCCCTGGCGGCGTTCCGGGCGTTCCGTGTTTGGACGCCCGGCTCGAGCGCTCCGGGGGAACCCCCGTGCGCCCCCGGTTCCAGCTCGTTGCGGTTCTGGTCCTGCCCGGCCTTCGCCCACCCGGCGCCGGGCAGCTCCTCGGCCGGGGCCCCGCCGGGGCCGGTGCGGGGATCGGGGGGCGTCCCCAGCCCCAGGCTCAGCCCCGGGCACCGGTTGTCGTTGGCCAGGTCGCTGCGCTTGCTCAGGGCCCCCGACATGGTGCGAGGACACGGGGACGGGCGGGACCCCCGGCACGGCGGGACCCCCGGCCCGGCCCGACCGCAGCTGCCGTTGCGGGGAGGAGGAGGAGGGCAGGGGGGTCCTACAGCCCCCGGGGCGCCTCCGCGTCCATCGGGCCTGTGGGGATCGGGGGGTGGCACAGGGATCCCCGGCCACGGACGCTCCACGGCCCCGGGTCCTCCCAAGGACTCGGCATCCCCGCACAGCCCTGTCACGGACCCGGCCAGCCTCCCCCAGCACTAGGATGCCCCCACGTCTCCCGCGGGGACCTCCCTCAGCGGGCACCTTCCGCAGCACCAGGATCCCCCTCGGCCCCGGCATCCCGCACTACCCCCGCCGCACGGCCRCGGGTCCCGCCGCAGTCCCCTCCACGGCCACAACGCCCCGGGCCCACCCCGCGACTCCCCCGGCCCTGGGTCCCTCCGCACCCGCCCCACAGCCCTGCCAGCGGACACTCCACGGGGACCCCGCACCCACGGACTTCCCCGCTCGCCCCCGGCCCGGCCCTGCGGGGCCACCACGGGCCTCGGTCCCCACATCGTCCCCCCACCGCCCCCCATCACTCCCCGCAGCGCAGCGGGCCCGGCCCCCGTGTCCCCCTCCCGCCGTTCCTCTCCCCCCGTTCCCGGTACCTGCGGCGGCGGCTCCGCTGCCGGGGGGTCGCGGGGGGAGGGTGGGGGGCTCGGGGCTCGTCACTTCCGCTTCCGGCGGCGGGGGGACAGCGCCGCCTCCCGCGCCGGCCCCGCACGGGAGCATCGGGACCCCCGGGAACACCGGCAACACCGGGACCCGCGAGACCATCGGGAGCATCGGGACCACCAGGACCATCGGGACCGCCGGGGCTACCGGGAGCATCGGGAACACCGGGACCCTCGGGACCCTCAGGACCACCGGGACAATCGGGGCCATCGGGACCACCGGGACCCTCGAGACCACCGGGATCATCGGGACCATCGGGACCACCGGGGCCATTGGGACCCTCAGGGCCATCGGGACCATCAGGACCCGCGGCACCGGCGCCACCGGGGCCTCCGAACCTCCCCGGCACGCACCACCGGATCCCCCCGAGTGTTCTCCAGGCCTTGCCGGCGGCGGGGAGCTCGATCCGGCCCCGAGTGGCAGCGGGAACTGGGCGGAATGAAGGACACCCCCCCGGTCATACTCCCGAGGCCGTGACCCCGACGCTGCCTGTCCTGGACCAGCGGTGCGGGACCCTCGGTGCTATGCGTGCCACGGACCAATTCAGCCCAGTTGAGTCCCCTRTTCCCCCTACCAGAATCCCCCAAGGCGCCGGCACCGCCGATTCCATCCTGCTGCCCCCGCCCRGGCACCGGGACAGGGTCGGGGGCAGCACTAGGACCCCCTGCGGCTGCTGTGCCCCCGGAGGCCCCTGAACCCTCGAGGRAGGGTCTCGAGGTTCCCAGCTCTTACCAACCCCGCTGAATCCTASGGGGACCGGAGGGTCCACCTGGGAGCAGCAGAGGGTGTATGGGGCTCCTGTGCCCAGTATGGACCAGTGTGATCCTKTACAGAATCACAGTCATTTCGTTTGAAAAAAAATTTTAAGTACTGAATCCAGCCTGTGACTGATCCCCACACTGTCACCCAGTCAAGAGCACCAAGTGCCACATCTGTCCAGTTGTTCCCTGGACAYCTCCAGGGATGGGGACTCCACCACCTCCCTGGGCAGCCCCTTCCAGCACTTGACAGYCCTTTCCATGAAGAAATTCCCYCTGATGTCCAACSTGAACTTCCTCAAGCACAGCTTGAGGCCGTTTCCTCTTGTCCTGTCACTTGTTTCCTGGAAGGTCCCCCAGGAGCCTCCTTTGTTCCAGGCTGAGACCCCCAGCTGTTCCTGGGGCTCCAGCCCCTTCCCAGCTCTGTTCCCTGCCCTGGACACGCTCCAGCCCCTCAATGTCTCTTACCCTGAGGGCCCAGACTGGACACAGCCCTCGAAGGGTCTCTCAGTGTCCAGCAGAGCAGAGGGAGACAATCCCTGCCCTGGGGCTTGTGGCCACACTGGAGCTGGACAGTCCAGATGCCATCAACTTCTTGCTCAGCTGTACACACCTGGGCTAGTGTCCAGCCACTGTCACTAGCAACCCCAAGTTCTTTCCCAACTTTCCAGCCCCTCTGTCCCAGCCTGGAGTGTTGCAGGGGGTTTTGGTGACCCAGGTGGAAGACCCAATGTTGCCGTTGTTCACCCTCACACTGTTGGCCTTGGCCTATTAGTCAAGCCTGTCCAGATCCCTCWGCAGASCCTTCCTGCCCTCAGCAGATCCACATCCCGAGCAACCTTGTGTCACCCATGAACTCACTGCGGACACACTGGATCGCTCCATCCTGATCATTGATAATGATGTTGAACAGCACCAGCCTCACCRCTGAGCCCTGGGCAGCCCCAGCAGTGCCCAGCCCCACCTGCGCATGGCCCCATTCGCACCCATCCCTGGGCCTGGCCAGCAGCCACGTGTTCCAACAAGGAGCATCTATCCCAGCCGGGCTGCATGTGCTCCTTGAGATGACAGGGAGATGGCGATGGTGCCAAAGGCTCTGCTGAGCTACAGGCAGACACACCCACACCAGTCCCACACACACAGTGTGTCAGCAGGAGACAGAGGTGGGTGATGCAGGACCTGCCTTTCCCACCCCCCAGCTGGATCTGATCCCCTGATTGTCCTGCCCATGCTGTGGGAGCTCCACAGATCCATTCTAGGGCCTTCCCAACATCAAGAACAGGAATGGGCATGGACCCAGATTCTCCCTCCAGCCCTGTTTGGGGTCAGGGTCACGGGCACCTCTGGGGTGCTGGGAATGGTGGGGAATGATGGGTGGGATCTAGGTGAGCTCTGGAGGACCAGTCAGAGCAGCTGACCTCTCCACAGCCCCTGTGGTATCTCCAGGGATCCATCGGCTCCAGGGATCTGTGGGATCTGAGGGGCTCAGGTCACTGACCACTTTCTCCTGGGTACATGGACCAGTACAAACCAGTCCCTACTCCGAGTACAGACCAGTCCAACCCAATCCCTGCTGCCAGCACAGACTAGTCTGACCCAGCACAGATCAGTCTAACCCCGTCCTCACTTGCAGTCCAGACCAGTCCAACCTAGTCCCCACTCCCAGTCCATCCCTGTCACTGCAGATGGGTCAGTGTTGGCAGAATGCCCAGGTCTGGCAGGCACCCGTGGTGCCACTGAGCTCCAGGCACCGTTCCTGTCCCTGCTTAGCCTGGCACTGTCTGGGGGTGTCCAGCACAGCCAGGGGGGCCCACAGGATATGGGGGGCTGTAAGGCAGGGTATGTGAAGGACAGGCAGGGCTACGGGGCAGCACGGGGCCAGGGTACTTCCAGAATACTTTATTTTGTACATAGTTTGTCAGCGTGCGACAGCTGCCCCACAACCCCCGGAGCCCCCAAGAGCTGTGGGGCAGGGGCAGCAGTGCGGGGGGCAGCAGTGCAGGGGGCAGCAGGCACGCGCGGTCACCCCACAGCTGGGGAGGGGGCTGGGGAAGTGAAGGGTGGCCCTCATGGGGCATGAGGCTCTGGGATTGGCCACCCCACAGCATCCCAAGCCCTGCCAGCGGCTCCCCCTGCCACTCACACTCCCCACAGCTTGGGCACCCCTGTCAGCAGGGCTGCTGGCCCTGCCATGGGGCAGGAGAAGAGGTCAGACTACGATCCTCCAGCAGCCCCCGCCCCACAGGACCCATCCTTGCCCCCCAGGCCCGGCTGCCCCCTGGGATAAAGTGCACATGAAGCCAGGATGGTGCCTGGGGGCCAAGCGAGGCCATGGGGCAGCCGTCACTGCACACACCCCGCTGCAGCTGCAGACTGGGGCCTGCCCGCAGCCGTGCCCACGGCATCCTGCCCGTCACTGCAGGTAGCGATAGGCCTTGAAGCAGTGGTTGCCCGAGTCAGCCACGACGACGTGGCCATCGGAGGTGAGCGCCAGCCCCTGCGGCCCGTACAGAGGGTCAGCTGCCGTGTTGATGTAGGACAGGAACGAGCCTGCACTGTCGAACACCTGCAGGAGGTGCACAAGGCTATTCCCGGTGGCCCCACRGCTCCCAATGGTCCCCAAGCCCAGGGACCCCCCAGCCCCAACAGCCCACAGATCTGCAGGATGCACTCCCTGTGGGGGAACATGATCAAGATCTATTCCAGTTAACCCAAAACCCTTCTCCGTTGCTCCCAGGTGACCCCAGACCCCTCCCCAGTCCATCCCAGTCACTTCCAGTTGGAGCAAACCTCTTCCCAGTTCCCCTCAGTTGATCTGAGACCCCTCCCAGTTGCTCCCAGTTGACTCCAGTTGCTTCCAGTTGACTGTAGATCCTGCCCAGACACTTCCTAATTGACCGAAGATCCTTTTCAGTTGCTCCCACTAAACCCAAGTTCCCTCCTGGCTCCCTCCAAGTGCCCCATAGCAACTCCCAGTATATCCCGTGGGTTGATGCGGGAAGGGGCCAGTGCTGGGTCTCCTTGGGCTGCGCTGGGGGTGTGTGTGCAGGTGGAGGTGGGGGTACAGGAGTGTGTGCATGCACAGGTACGTGTATGGATACGAGTGTGTGTGCAGGTACACAGGTGTGTGTGCAGGTACAGGTGGAGGTGTGCACGTACAGGTGTCTGTTGAGGTATAGGTGTGTGTGCAGGTACAGGTGTGCACATGGGTGCACAGGCACAGGTGAGTGTGCAGGTACACCAGTGAGTGTGCAGGTACAAGTGCAGGTGTGCAGATAGAGGTGTCTGTGCAGGCACAGGTGTCTGTACAGGTAAAAGTATGTGTGCAGGTACAGGTGTGTGTTTAGATAGACAGGTGTGTCTGCAGGCACAGCAGAGTTGCAGGTACAGATGTGTGTGCAGGCACAGGTGTGTGTGCAGGTACAGGTGTCTGTGCAGGCACAGGTGTGTGTGCAGGTACACGGGTTGTCTGTGCAGGTACAGGTGCAGGTGTGCAGGTAGAGGTGTCTGTGCAGGCACAGGTG